GGTGATGATGATGAGGATGAGGAGGAAGAGGAGGTGTCGCCAGTGTGTAGTATAGGTGTCGGTTGCGCGGGGAGGTGGATGTTTGTTTGTTTGTTGTCTTGCGCGGTGATAGTGTTCTTGTGTGGCTACCCCCCCTGTTGTTTGGGTGCGGTGCGAAGGAAACGCCGGATGATTTCTGAACCACTGCCTGCGGTCACGAGGCGGGAGGGTTTCATTGGAGGGAGGGGCTCGTCATGTCATCGATTCAGGAGGGAAAGAAACACACAGACACAATTAATCGTCGACTCCCAGGAAAATGTGCAACAATATGGGAAGCGGTGGGGAAGACAAAACCCCAGAAAGTATGGGAAACTATGGGGGATACTTTTATTTGTGTGTATTTCTTTGTGTGTTCCAGTTCCCCTTCATCGATGCAGGGCTGGGTGCCAGTGCATCTCGTCGCTTCTCGCCCACTGGCCAGGCAGGCCACCGCCCTCCGCGCGCCCAGCGCGCGGCCGACGCCTCGCGCGGCCGTCCTCGGACGCCGTGGCCCCGGGGAGGGGGCCCCGAGGCTCGGCAGAGAAGGGACTACACCTTGGGCGATGCTTAAGAAAACCCAAGTTTTCGTCCAGAGTCTCGATGATTCTTAATTTTTCAATGTAAATCCGAAGATTTTGATAGAAGTTCTGGGTTTTATTCAAGTTCTGAGACTATGAGTTTCTTAACCCATGATTTCTTAAGCATGTCGCAGGGTGCACACGCAAGAGGGACCCTTCGCCGGAGTGACCTTCGGTGCGGGCACAACGGGGGCCCCCCGATCATCGGTTACGCTGCGACAGCAGCGCCCTGCGCGCCTGGGTTTGGTCCCCCCGCGGCCCCCCAGGAGCCGCGCACCAGAGGTCACTCTTGCCCAGGGCCACTCCTTGCGTGTAGCCGAGAGAAGGGACAGGACTGGAGGCGAAGAGCAGACGTCAGGAGGGAGCAGCAGACACAGACACGAGAGACATGCAGGGAAAAACATGGGGCAGGGGGCCAGAGGCGAACACCCAGAAGCAGGGGAAACATGGGGCAGGGGGCAGAGGCGAAGGCCCAGAACAAAAAAAAAGCATGGGAGCATATGGGACATCCTGGGATGTGCGCCTTGCTTCTCCGCGTGCCCCTGGGTCCCTTTGCTGTGGAAGTGCACGTGCGCGGTCGGCCCCCGCTGGCCTGCGTCCCAGCGCGGATCTGGCTCGTGCGCGCGGGGGGGGGGAGGGCCGCGGAGCGTGCACACCTCAGTGGGCCTTGGAAACGACAGGGCCGTTTTCCAGTTCCGTTTTGCCGTTTTTGTCGCCAGTTCCGACGCCGTTTTTTTACCGGTCCGTCGCCGTTTTTTGACCGGTTCCGGCTCCGGTTCCAATCCTGGAGCCGTTTATTTGCCGTTTCGGGTCGTAGTTTTTGTTGCCGTTTCCATGTTCAAGGGACATTTTTTTGGAAACGGTTTTTCGGAAACGGCCCACAAAGGTGCACACGTGTGTACGTGCGCTTGCCTTAGCATCGCTCGGACGTATGCTTCTGTTCGGGGGGCCCGGGCCATCGATCGACGAAGAAAGATCGCCATGCACATAAACTTGTGGCGCTCCGCGCGGCTTTCCTGGATCCGCGCTGGGCCCGCCCGGCGGCACCTCCAGCGCCGCCCCTGGCGCGCTCCGCGCGCCAGGGAGGGGGGCCCAGCGCGGATCCAGGAAGTTTGCGCGGAGCGCCAGCAGTTTCTGCATGTGGCGATTTCTCTGTTCTAATCATGGGCCATCCCGTGACGAGCACCTGCGCGAAACCGATACGTGCACGGGCAGTGGGCGCCCGAGCGACGGCGAGGAGGGATCGCTCAGGCGAGGCGGAGGCGGAATAGCAGACTTGGTTCGGGAGGGAAAGAAACACACAGACACAATTAATCGTCGGTCCCCAAGAAAATATGGGAAAATATGGGAAGTGGTGGGGAAGACAGAAACCCAGAAAATATGGGAAAATATGGGGAATATTTTTATTTGTGTGTATTTATTTGTGTGTCCTAATTTCCCTTTATCTGATCCCAGGTCGAGGATTCACGGACCCCGGCCCCACAGATGGGACGGAAGGGAGACGACGACGACGCCGACGACGACGACGACGATGACGACCTCGACGCCGACGCCGACATCGGCGGAAGACGACGTCGCCGACGGCAGACGCCAACGCCGACGCCGTCGGAAGACGGCGGCGCAGACACCGACGTTGGCGGAAGGCGACGACGACGGCGACGATGCGCCTCACTCCCACAGGGGGACGGGGGGAGCGGCACCCCCACTAGGGGGCCACGTGCGGACCCTACCCCTACCCCCCACGATTCCTGAGGGGGAGGGTGGGGTTCACTTCGTTCGGGAGCTCCCAAGCGAAGTGAACCCCACCCTCCCCCTCAGAAATCGCGTGGGGTAGGGGTAGGGTTCGCATGCGGTCCCCTACCCACCACGCCACGCCCACAGGGCACGACCACAAGGGGGGGGGGGGGGGGGGGAGCGATCACATTCGCGAGGCTTTTGCAATCTTGGTTTGGAGAGCTCTCGGCGAGAGCACTGGAACGTCCCCCATCCACGTCAGGCGCTCCCATTCGCGAGGCCCTCGCGAGGCTCACGGACGTACCCATCCAGCGGGGTGGGTGGGCCCGATCTTATTATTATTTGAAGGGGGGGGGCCTTGGATCATATATGACATCATCCCCCTTTCATCGCTCCCTTCCCGTTGCGCCGAAGTCTGTTGTATCCGTGAGCCGCAAGCATGGGGAAAGGGGATCGTCGTACATTGGACAAGGACGTGTTGGTGGCGGATGTGCATGAGGAATAACAGTACGATGAGGACGAAGGAGAAGTAGCACCAGGAGATTTGAGTACACTGGACCCCCCTGCCAAGAAACACCCTGCTTGCCTCCAGGGTGACTTGGGGTTCGATGGTTTTGCTATGGAAAGCGTGACGTTCCCGCACCAAAAAACAATGGACGTTCTGGGGTCTCAGGGTTGAGTTTCTTTGTGGAAGGGTTCCTGTGGTCGAGTTCCTACTGTAGGATGAGCAGGCTGACCAGGGAAGGTGGAGGAGGGAACAAAATAGGTGGACGGCAACGACGAGGAGCGAGTCTCGGATCCAGAAGTATGGCCCGCGCTCGGGGGACCGCCGGCGCTGCAGCAGCATGAGCACCATGCTTGAGAGACTGAGCATGCCCTGAGTGGATCTAGGCCTCCTAGATGGGGTCGAAGGATCGCTCGGCATCGCCGAAGCGGCTCGATGTGGAGCCCGATTTGCGTCATGCCAATTTCGCCAATGCATCGCCGACATCGACGACGCGTCGCCGGTGCATCGCCGATGTATCGCCGATGCATCGCCGATGTATCGCCGATACATCGTCGATCTGGCGGGATCCTCCAACCCCATCTACTCGGACCCCATCTAGGATGCCTCTATGAGTGGAACGGACCAATCGAAAGCCACTTCCAGACAATCCGGTGGAAGAAACCATATGCGGTGCAGGCGGGTAACCAGAATGGAGGGAAAGAAGAGCAGTACTCATACTGTGCTGATCGTGACGACTAGGGAGGCGTACGTGGAGTACGTGGAGGAGAGGAAGAAACAAGAGGAGGCGGATGAGGATGGGCATGATGATTGTGATGTTGAAAATGGTGATGTGGATGAGGAGGAGGAAAGGAGGAGGAGGAGGACGAGAAGGAGGAAGATGACGAGGACGATGACGATGATGAAGATGATGATAATGATGACGACGATGATGCTGATGACGAGTAGGATGGTTGTGTTGGTGGTGGTGATGTCGATACTGATGATGATTATGATGATGATGATGAAGCTGATGATGTTGATGATGCTGATGCTGATGCTGATGCTGATGATCCTGATGATGATGACCATGCTGATCATGATGCTTGTGATGACGATGGTGACGACGATGCCGATGCTGATGATTGCGATGAGTATGTGCATGAGGATGTTGAGCATGAAGATGATGCACATTTGGATGATATGTAGATGCTGATCATTGCCATATCGATAAGCGTGTTGATGATGCAAGTGGTGATGATGCTGATGGTGATGGTTATGCTGATGATAACCATGATGATGATGATGATGATGATGATGATGATGATGATGATGATGATGATGATGATGATGATGATGCTGATGCTGATGCTGATGCTGATGATGATGATGATGATGATGATGATGATGATGACGATGATGATGATGATGATGACGACGACGATGATGATGATGATGATGATGACGACGATGATCATGAGGAGGAGGAGGAGGAGGAGGAGGAGGAGGAGGAGGAGGAGGAGGACTAGGAGGAGGAGGAGGAACGGACGGGTCCAAGCGCCACGTCTTGCCCCCAGTGCGTCGGTTCCGTTGGAATCCCTTGCCCGATGGTGCAATGCAGCTTGGAGGGATAGACTCTGAAGACCCCTCTGTGCCCCAGCTGCGCCGTGGGAAAGACCGAGGATAATCACGCAGGCTTCCCCGCCGCCGTTGCAGCTGGGCTCCCCGTGGGGATCCCGCTCGGGTTCCTCCCCTGGGCTTTCGTTGCGTGGCCGCGGACCTCAGCCCGTGGGCCCGAGATGAGACTGGCCGCAACATCGGCTCGGTCCTGGTCTCCCCCCCTCCTCCTCCTCCTCCTCCTCCTCCTCCTCCTCCTCCTCCTCCTCCTCCTCCTCCTCCTCCTCCTACTCTGGCCCAGTCGCTGGGCACGACCGCTTGCACCGCGTGTGATGCGGCCAGTGGCAACCAGCTCGCCGGCCTTCCCCGCCTTACGTAGCATGCCGCGCACCCCCCGTCCGCCATCGGGCCCGCTTCAACATAAAACACAACCCTCTCCGCGATCGGAGGGGTCGCAATACATACAGCCGCATGTGCAAGTGTATTCCCAGATACGTGCATGCAGACATGGGCATACACATAGATGTCAGGGGACCAACGCGCATCAGTCGCGGCTCGCCGCGGAAGAGGATGCTGATATTCGTGCTGGAAGTGTGCATTGTTTACCCGTACTGGTACTTCATCCGCAAACCCTTTCAGGATCGAGGCTTCGCTCGTTTCAGTCCAGCCCGTTGCGATGTATATGTGTTGATGTTGCCCTCTGTCGTGTCCACTGACCCCCCTTGCACAGGAAGTTCCTCTCCTCTTTGTCCTCTTCCTACTCTTCCTCAGGGCTGGACCTAAACGGTGTTTTTGGTGATTTCGTGGGCCGTTTTCGTTTCGACTTCGTTTTGCGGTAAAGGCGGATTTGAGACAAAAGCGAGGGACAACGAAAACAAAACGAAAATGAAAACTCCGTTTAGGTTCAGCCCTGCTTTTCCACCTCTCCCTCCTTTCCTCCTCCTGCTCCTCCTCCCTTTACCATCCCCTCAAGCTCATTCGAACTCGGGTCTTCGCTTGCCAGTTGTTCCCTGCGCTGTACCACGTTGTGTGCTAGCTTTAAGTCGGGCGCTTGTCCTTCCACAGGGGGGACATTCAAACATAGTCAAAACATAGCCTGGGGATGTTGTTTTGATTGTTATTATATGTTTGGAATCTGTGTTGAGTATTTCCAGTTTTTCGACCAAAATCCCCCTGTCGGGGGATAGGCCCGACCTGATGCTGGCTCGAGCGCCGCAGTTCCTGCGGTGAAAACGCAGGGACCCTGCCCCGTGCCGGCCGGACGGGGCGCCGCCGCCTCCTCCTCCTCCTCCCCCTCCTCCTCCTCCTCCTCCTCCACACTCCTCCTCCTCCTCCTCCTCCTCCTCCTCCTCCTTCCCCACCTGGCGCCTGGGCCCCGCGGCATCGGAGAAGGGAGCCCCGGCATCGCTCGGACGTATGCATTTTTTTCCCTCGGCGAGGGCCCCGGAGGAGCATCCTGGATCTCAGTGGGCCCTGGAAACGACAGGGCCGTTTTTTTTTACCGGTTCCGTTTTGCCGTTTGTTTGCCGGTTCCGGCGCCTTTTTTTACCGGTTCCGTCGCCGTTTGTTTGACAAGTTCCGGCTCCGGCTCCAATCCTGGAGCCGTTTTTTTTTGCCGTTTTCGGTCGCCGTTTTTTGGCCGTTTCCATTTTTGAGGGACACTTTTTGGAAACGGTGAAAAAAAACAGCCCTGCCGTTTCCGGGGCCCACAAAGTCCTGGATCATCGAGCAAACAAAAACACGCACGAAGCCGAAACATGCACAAGTAATGGACGTCCGAGCGATGGCGAGAGGAGGCATTGGTAGCAAGAGCACGGTTCTCGAATGAACCGCGAGGAAGTCTCAGGCGAGACGGTTGCCGGACAGGCTGCTGCACCGGGTCTCCCAGTCCATTATGTGGGATTCCTCGGTGTTCCTTGTTTGCCACTGTGGGAGCCCTCTAGCCGGACGCTACCTGGGGAGAACATACCTCCTTCCATCCTTACACCGTTTGCAGTAAACATACGCGGCGCCCAAGCGAGATCTCCAATTTGAAAACGACCCGCCATCGATCCTTGCAACTGCTGTAAGTTTTCAAGGCGAGGGTGAGAAGCGCAATGTGTGATAGTTCCATTTTGAAATGTTCCCGCCCTTTATATTGTTGAATGTGTTGGAACTTTTTCAAGCTTCAGCAACATACGCCGCCATGATTTCTCAGACGCAACGCTCTACCCGCCCTACCGATATGTCTGGTGGTCACGCGGGGATGGGTCATCAAGAAATGGAACGAGTTGGTTAGGGGCAGGAGGAGGAGGAGGAAGCAGAGGAGGAGGAGTAAGAGGAGGAATGGAGGAGATAGAGGAGGAGTCAGAGGAGGAGGAGGAGGAGGAGGAGGAGGCAGAGGGGGAGGAGGAGGTGGCAGAGGAGGAGGAAGAGAGGCCGAGGAGGAGGAGGTTGAGGCAGAGGAGGAGGAGAAGGAGGAGAAGGAGGAGGTGGAGGTGGACGAAGAGGAGGAGGAGGAGGAGGAGGAGGAAGAGGAGGAGGCACAGGAGGAGAAGGAGGAGCCTGAGGACAGAAGTCGAGGCAGCGGGACGGGGAGGAGCCGCGGCGCAAAGGCGGACAGAGGATTGGGCGCGAATCAATGGGGAGCAGTACGGTCGGATTGCTGAGGAGGGAACCCTTTTTTTGTTGGGGAGGGGCTCAGTGTTCCTTAATCGTTTTGCAGTTTGTCTCGGGTATCCCTCGGGTTTCCTGCGGGTGGTCGAAGTGTAGCGCATGGAGACAGGAGGGCATCGTTCTTCGCTTCGATAAGAAGTGGGGGGCGGCGAGGGCTGCAGAAAAGGAGTCCCCCAGGGCCTCGACAGGGGCCCTGCAGGTCCCCGGGGGGAGCCTTGACGGCCCGAGAAGGGCACCTCTCTTTCCCCCTCATGTATCTCGCCCCCCAGATATGCCCGCCCAGGGGGGTGACGACGAGGAGGGAGGATCGTCATGTGACCGTTTCCTTATTCACTGTTGCGCCGATCGACGCGGGCCCTCCGCCCCTCTTCTTGGCATCGCTCGGGCGTGTGCGTTTTTTTCTTCGGCGAGGACCATCGAGGAGCATATTGGATCAGTTTGCGATTGGAAAAAAGTACACGCGCGAAACCGAACAACGCACGGGGATTGAACGTCCGAGCGATGGCAAGCCTCCCCCCCTCCCCCCCCCAAAAGACCAGATCTTGGCTGCTGTTAGGGGCTGTTTCTGCCGACTGGTCAGCCCCCCCCCCCCACCCCCCCCCCAGTCTGCGTGCGCGCAGACGCAGATCGACTCGGCACCGCCCCATGCCCAGGCGCCCCGCCCTTCCCCACCCTTCGTCCAGATGTCGATGACCAGAATTTGAAAAAAAGCCTACTTTTGGTGATTCTGAGCGCGTGTGAGGACGTGGGAACTACGGCGACTGGATTTATCAACACCCTCTACGGAATCATCGTCGGAAATTTGAACGGCCTGGTTTACTGCAACATATACGGTTTCAGCGAGGGTATCGGCTTCCCTATAAAGGACGATTTGTTCAGCTTTGCCACATTCGGAACAATACTTTTCACGTTTGCAATGCTCATCATCAACATCGGATTGGACGCGCGTGTTGTGGTTACGAACTACGGAAGTGGGCCCTTGAGTTTGTCCGTAGGGATGTCTACTCACATGGCCGCGGTCATGCCGAGCATGATGTTCGCAGGCAGGCCAATGAACATCATCATGCCCACCATCCAGTATGTTTGGAATCAAGCATTAGCGAAGGTCTTGTACGTCTGGAAATGTCTTCCTGATTGTATCCTTAGAGTTCTTGTCAAGATTTTGCCGTACAGTCCGGGCTCCATCGATCATTGGCCTTTCCGAAACGCAGAGAAGCTGGCGAGTCCCTGGCAGATGCCCATCACGGGTGACTTTGCAGACATCGTAGTCATTCCTACGTTGTGTTTCGTCATGCTGATCGAACATGCCTCTGGCGAATCACCGCCGAGAGGTGTGTGGACCAACGGTCTTTTTTTGCGAGCGTTTGGCTAAGCTTCTGGACTGCATAGCCCTCCATCCATTGCGAAAGCGAATGGCAGAACCAGAACCCGTTAGGACGGTGTTTGGCAATTGTTTGCGCCTTTGGGTTCGTGTGGGTGATTCTGAGAGCCAAGGCCATCTGCGGCCTGTATTGCCATCTCACGGGGCCATTTGTAGCCATCTTGGGCTACAGTTGGGTCTCTTTAGTGCGACCCTGTGGACTCAAGGGCACCTTTGCGTCCTGGTTATCCCGGTCCATGTCCTCTTCATGTTTGGAGCCGAGGTTGCCATCGTACGAGATTTGTGCCATCTCAGTTGTCCTCTGCTATCAATTCCGACTGAACATCGGGAGCCTCTTTGCGGCGTCTTCGGGTGGTATCCGGGTCTTAGGCGGGCTTTTTGGAGCATTCATTGCATTTTTGAGTGCTCTGCTGGGGTCTTTGGGACCATCCTGGGCCTCCCGGGCCCGTTCCGCAGGCAACAACAACGTAAGTGAGTTTGGCGACCAGTCCAAGCTTATGATACTATGCGCCTTGATGCATTTCCTCGTTTCTGCCGGGGGCATGCGTGCCCTAGGCATTCCAGGTTCTGCGCACCATCATGCAACCTGTTTTTGGCCATGACGGCACTGGCAGCCAAACCGTTGACGTTTCGTGTATCCCCGCCAACCCATCGAGAAACGCACCCTGCCATTGGGGCCTCCATGGGGCCGCGAAGTGCGTGATGTATTGCCAGAGTGGGCCCAAGTCTGCATGCGGACCCTGCTACTGGGGCTGTCGGTGGAGCTCCCTATGCGGCCACGAATCTTTTGATCGGTGTACCAGAATTGATCCGAATCCGCATGTGGACCTTGCCACTGGGGCCTTCGGTAGAGCGCCTATTGTGGCAGCGAAACGCGTGAGGGGTGGCGAAACGGTGATGTGAATGATGATGGCGGTAGCGAGTATGAACGCGATGATGTTGACGACCGTGATGTTGACGATGAGGATGATGTTGATGACAAGGATGAGGAGGAAGAGTTGAGGATGGGGGAGGGCGAGGGGGAGAGGAGACGCGCGGCGCTGCGGATTTCAAACGAGAACCCAACACACAGGAGGGTTGGGTACAAAACGCAAAGGCTTGCTCGGATCTTTCGACCTGAGGGCCTCTTGAAGCTTGTTTGGCAATGTTTGGGCGCTGTTGGGGTCATCTGGGGGGCGCTCGAGCTTTCCTGGGCCCCACTCGGGGCCCACTTGGAGCCCACTTGGCGCCCTCCAGAGTCGTTCCGGAGCCCTCTTTGACGACACCGATCAGAAACAGGGGCTGTGGTGTTCAGGCCCGCCCCGTCGCAGCCCGACAACTCGCACTGTCAACCCGCACAGTAAGAAACAACTACTTTCCAAGACTACCCTTGCATCCTTCCCCTTCGGCCCATCCCTGGCCGCTTTCGCGGGCCGCGCCCCGCTCGCAGAGTGTCGGCACGGGCTTCCAAGGCCTTTGCTTCCTTATCGTGCGTCCTTCTGATACGGGTTGACCGTATCTCGGAGACACCCCCTCCCCGTTCCCCCCCCCCCACTCTCCCGCCTGCGACGGGCCCCCCCCTCGCATCTTGGACCCCACCCCCCTTATCTTGGAGCGCCCCGCCGCCAACTCGTAGATTGGAGCTCCACACCCACAGACTTTCCTCGAAGGGTGAAAGGTAGCACTAGGACCTCGCCATCTAAAATCCAGTCGAGATTTTGAGCAGCCCAGATAGGTCTACACTTCTGGAGGGGAGCACCGAGAAACGTCAGGGCCGTCCTCCGATTCGTATCTTGGAGCCCCCCCCCTCTCCCGCAGGCGACCAGCGGCACCGTCTCGGGACAAGGGGGATGCTGGACAGCGGCACCGGTGGGGGGTGGGGCACATGCTCAGGGGGGGCCCGAGGAGGAGGAGGAGGAGGAGGAGGAGGAGGAGGAGGAGGAGGAGGAGGAGGAGGAGGAGGGTTCGAGGTTGTCCGGCGTTCTCGCAGGCTCGCGGCTGCTTTCTGGCCTCCGGATGGTCTCTGGCAGCTGCGCCTCGCCGCGAGCGCTCCCGGGCGGCCCGGATCGCCCCGAGCGGCCGCTGGAGGCCCGTGCGAAGCCACCAAGGGACAGGCTCAGGGGGGACCTCCTCCTCCTCCTCCTCCTCCTCCTCCTCCTCCTCCTCCTCCTCCTCCTCATAGTCCTCCTCCTCCTCCTTCTCCTACTCCTACTCCTCCTTCTCGTCCTCCTCCTCCTCATGCTCCTCCTCCCTCTCGTCCTCCTCCTCCAAATCATCCTCCTCACCCCGCCCAGGAACGTAGGGGCTTGTGATCGGGTGCCTATCGTCGACCTATCGGCGATATTACGACGTTTCCAGATCGATGCTTCCCCCGCTGTGCCAGTCCCCCCTCGCGCTGTCCCTCGGCCAGACAGTCGGCTGGTGGGACTATCTTGATTTGTCATTGCAGTGGACGACGCAGGCGAGCTTCGGCGGCCGAAGGGCTCGTGGAGAAGTCTGCAGAGTCCAAGTCGCAGTGCAATGAGAGCTTTAGAAATCCAGCTCGGCCAACGACGCTGTGGTGAACAAGAAGGGGGCTGCGGAATCTACTGCCTCCAGCCACTTCTGCCGCCCGCAACTTGTGCCCCAGGCATCGAGCGGCCCATCCTGAGAACCACACAGGGGACCGCAGGAATGCGGTTGCATGCTATTTTCGAAGGGAGGGGCGCCAGGGAGGGCGGGCAGGAGAGTGTCCACATGCATACACCTGAGCACTATTGTGCGATTATGCGGTACGCGCTTACTACCCACGCGCTTCACGCGGCCTGACGGTCCCACAGCGGGCTTGCGGATCTTCATATCTACTTCTTGTTGGTTCTTCTTTGCATTGCTGTGTGGGTGGGGTCTCTACATCTACGTATACGTGAGGTATGCTTACTTGCGCTTCCACGGGCTAGATTTTATAACCACCAGCACGCTGTTCTCGGTGGCTTGGTATCTTTGGGGCATTCCCATCTCTGTAGTGGCCGCGAATGTGCCACATTGGTTTTACGTCAAGGATGATATTCATGAGGATGGTGCGCTGGTCTCCCAAACACTCCACCCCAAAGCTCATGCCCTCAATACCCACTCCGCCCTGATTCCACCTCCTTCATCCACTCTCTTCCCTCCTCGTGTCTCCTCCCGGTCCTCCAGTACAGGGGGGATGGCAGTTTGCTATCAGCATGGGCGCTCGAGCTTTGGGGCGTGGGTCTGGGCTCGGCTCGCCGCAGGATGCATCAACTAGATGGTCCGTGATGGGGGTCGCGTTTGTCGCCTCCTTCGCGTTGTGGTCAGGTTGCTATCATTTCTTCGTGAGACCGTTCAAGGAGACTGATGCCACAGAGCAGGATGCCTCCCTCACGGTTGCAGAGGCAAAGATGCACAGGGTGTACGATTGGTTGAATTGCAATCCTGTCTTTGCGCTGAAGTGTAGGTACTATTTCCAAGATGTTGGAGGAGAGGATCAGGGACTTTTAAGAGGACACCCTTTGGCTTGCGGGGAAAACCCTGCTGCAGTGCGCTTCTACGAGATAGGCAAGGAGTACCTATTTTTGAGAGTGCAACGCCAGTACATGATCGAGTACCACCTATCGAACTTTCTGGAGCCAGACTACTGGACTGACATTGGAAGTTCGGGGGTCGCAAGGATGATGGCCCCTTTGTTGGCTCACCTCGTCCCGGTGAAGACCAGACTCAAGTCGGCTTACGAGCAGGTAGATCTTGCGTACCGACGTGGTGTAGGGAACGAGGGATATTCGAGTGCGCCTCTCATTCCGTGAGTGGTCGCGAACCTGCGCATGGGGTAGGCCGTAGGAGTGCAAAGACACGTCCATTACCGCCTCCGCCAAATATATTCATTACGCCACTGCTCGGCCAGGGCCATTCTTGCGGCATCGCTCGGGCGTGAGCAATTTCCCGGCTGGGGCCATCGAGGAGCGTCCTGGGTCATCTTGCCAGAAGCGAGCGCCGACGGGCTTGTTTCCCACCACCGCCACCATAGATTGGAGGGGGAGGGGGTCCTCCTCCTCCTCCTCCTCCTCCTCCTCCTCCTCCTCCTCCTCCTCCTTCACCTCCTTTTTCTCTCCAACTGATGGTGGTGGTGGTGGAAGACAGGCCCACCCCAGGCGCACGCCGCCGAGAAAGGCGCGGGGCGTGCCTGTCCGAGCGGTAGGAGGCCCTGGGCCCCTTTTTGCTCGTGCACGGGCCCTCCTGCCCTCGGCGGGGGGCTGACTTGAAGTCGGGCGTGTCCCTCTACAGGGGGAATACTCCAGATTTCGTAATAAAGGGAGGGGGGTCTCATTTCGGGGGGGGTCTCTTCCAGGCTATCTTGGAGGGCCTGGGGGGGTCTGGGGACGATGTTTTGGAGGGTTCTCCCACGGGGGGGGTCTGAAATGGCTTGTCTTGGAGGGTCCAGACCCCCTCCCTTTTATTACGAAATCTGGAGTAGTCCAAAAGAGTTCAATCATAGTCCGGGGACGATTTGTTTAAACTATTCTTGAATATTTGCGGTGTCTATTTTTTCCGTATTTTCATTTTTCGCCCAGAAGCTCCCCTTGGAGGGGGACACGCCCGATTTGAGGCTAATTGCGCCGCGCGAGGGCCGCGCAGATGGCCCCCGGCCGGGCGCGCTGCTGCGCGGGCGTCGGCAGGAGCTGCAGGCCAGTGCACGCCGGCCGTCGCTGCTGCCGCGGCCGCGCCGCGCGCTCCGGCCACGGCGGGCCGTGGCGACGACGGCCTCCAGGAGGCCCAAAGGCTGCGATCGCTGGGGCGTGTGCATGCTCTCTCCTCTCAAGCAGTGGCGAAGCGTCCCGGCTCGCCTGTAGCCCCACCAAACAATGTTCTAAGAACCTTTCCTGTGGCTCCCACGGGATGTTCTTGGAACATGTCTGGCGGAGTCTGTCTTGTGTTATCACATCGGGATTATGTTCTAAGAGCATCGTTATTGTTCTTAGAACATTTTGGGGTTCTAAGAACATTTCGTGGTAGGACTGTAGGAATGCCGGGACGGTCGGTCCCTGCTCAGTTCTTTCCTCGGGCCGAACGAAAGGGGGGGATAGGGAAAGGGGGGGTTACGAAATCTGCTGCATGCAGCTGGTTTCGGCCCCGCCGAGGGGCCCACTCCTCGATGCATGGGCGCCTCCCGGCGCCGGGAGGCGCCGGGAACATCAGCTACGTGAGCTGATTCTCAAGCCCCCCCTTTGCTAACCCCCACTTTCACCCGACCCGATCTCTGCGAGGGCCATCGAGGAGCATCCTGGGTCATCGAGCCAACAAAGTGCGCGCACGATGCCGAGAAGCTGCACAGAGAAGGGGCGTCCGAGCGATGGCAGGTGTCCCTCTGTCCCAGTTCTGCCAACGCCCGACCATGGTCGGGACCTCGCAAGGGGGGGGGGGGCACAAGGGGGGGGGAGTTCGGTCCGTTGGCGCATCGGACAGCAGAAACACCATGCAAAACGAGGTCTCTGGCCGCCGCCGGAACCCTAGAGGCGTCGACGATCGGGGCGCGCGTGGGACATCGTTTTTCGGCAATTCGATGCACACCCCCCTTTGGTGGCCCCGAAAAGATCGGGTGTTGCTGGAAGTGCCCCTGGCCCAAGGTCAAGGGGGGAAAAGCGACCCCGACCACGACAATTGGCGTTTACTAAACGGCCCTGGGCGGCGTTTACTAAGCAGCCCTGCCCTGTTTGATTTCTTCCTTGAGTGCGTTTACTAAACGGCTTCGCTTGTCGGGGTGCTTATTCTGGGGGTGGATTTCCTGCTCTCTACAAGGTGCCCCGTCGCCGCCATCCCCGCCCGTCGCCGCCCGTCGCCGTCGCACCGGGACCAGCGCCGCAAAATCGCCGCCGTGCCGCCCGTCGCCTTCGCCGCTCGTCGCCGCCATCCCCGCCCGTGCCGCCCGTCGCCGTCGCCGTCGCCCCGGGACCATCGCCGCAAAGTCGGTGCCGTGCCGCCCGTCGCCGTCGCCGTTCGTCGCGGCCATCCCCGCCCGTTCGTTCGCGGGGTCTGGGGCCTCCGATTTCATTGGTTTGAAATGGAGGCGGAAGTGCGAGAACACAAACATAAAAGTTGCCCTCATGTTCGTCCATGATTGTGGCCTCTCGAGGGGTTCCCCTGATCTCTGGTGGGACTCTCGGAGGTCTCTTGGGGAGATCATGGGTTGTCCTTGGGGCCTCCAGAGCCAATATGTATGAAACAATTAATTTCCTCAAATATGGTTTTTGTTTTGCGCGTTCGCCCAGGCCCCCATCCGTTCCCTCCCGTCTCAGGCGTTGGTGTGCCCAACAGTGCGTTCCCGTTTCCCCCATCCCTCGGTATCCGTTCTCCTTATTTTCATTTTTCTTTTTTTTCTGTTCTCTCTCTCTCTCTCTCTCTCTTCTGCTCTTTTTTCGTCCCCGCCTCCCTTTCCACAGCCTTGAATTCCCCCCGTCCTCTTCCCCGCTGCGTCATTTCCCTCCTCCCTCTTCCTCGTCCCTCTTTCACGCTTTCCTCTCACCGCCGCATCCCTCATGCGTTTCCGCCTCCCCCCCTCCCTCATGCTCAAGTCTCATTTGCTCCTTCCTCCATCAGCCGCTTTCACTCAGCATCCTGGGCTTCTGATTGGTCGGAGGCCCAGCTTGAGATAAAAGGAAATCCTTAAAAGCTTGTTTCCAAGGCCGACCCCATTCGACATTTCGAGCCCAGACGCCAAGAGCCCCAGGGAGGCCCCCGAGGCGCGCCAGCAAAGACCCAAGAAACCACCAGGAGACCCCCGCCAAAAGCAGAAGATAGTTACCCCAGCCTCAGAAACTCCCGAGGGCCCTTCAGAAACGTCCCCCGAAGGCATCCAACACGACTCCTGGCGCCTGGCATCGCTTGGAAGGGTGCATGTTTTCCTCGGCGAGGACCCTGGAGGAGCACCCTGGATCATCGAACAAACAAACACATGACCGACACCGAACACTGCACACAGAGTGGACGTCCGAGCGATGGCGAGGGCATGGTTCCCGCAGGCCCTTCGGAGTCCTCGGCCCGTCCTCCCGCGGGCTGCCGTACACCTTAGGCGATGCTTAAGAAAACCTAAGTTTTCGGCCAGAGTCTCGATTATTCTTAATGTTTCAATGTAAATCCTAAGATTTGAATAGACATTCTGGGTTTTTATTCAAGTTCTGAGACTATGAATTTCTTAACCCATGATTTCTTAAGCATTTCGCAGGGTGTAGGACCTCCACGCGGGTGCCTCGCGCACGTGCCGCGGCCTCCGTGGGCGTTTTTTCCCGGCATTCCGGCAGACGGCGGGGGGGCATCGCCCTGCACGCACGCCCCGGGCGCAACGTCGTGCTGGGCGCGCCTGCCGGACCTCCTCGCTCGTACTTGCTCCTCCTTGTTCCTCCTCCTCCTCCTCCTCCTTCTCCTTCTCCTCCTCCTCCTCCTCCTCCTCCTCCTCCTCCTCCTCCTCCTCCTCCTCCTCCTGTATCTCCCTTCCTCCTCCCCCGTTCATTTCCCCCCAAGGGTGCTGGCACGTCGGGCATCTGTCCTTGCCAGGGTGTGGGCCGCGTCATCAGTCTGGCACCGCAACATCTGAACGCTTCCCAGCAAGCTACAGCACGACCTAATGGATGCCCAAGGCCGCGCCCGCTGCGGCTTCGACTGGACTTGGCAGCCCTATCATTGGCCCCCCCACGGTTTCCAAGGGACCTCCCAAACACCTCCAAGATAGTCCAATGGGGCCCTCCAGACGTCCGGAAGATCCTCAAGTCCGCGAAAGTTCCACAGGCCACGAGCATCCCGAAGCTTCCCAAAGGTTACCTTCGGGCAGCTGCCCAGTATGTCTGGTCAAGGCAGCAGGATCTCAGGGTCTGCTTATTCAACGACCCCAGAAGCGTTCCTCAGGGAGCACGTTCCCAGATGGTGATCTTTGCGGGACGTTGTCCATTCTCACTTTATCATGTAATTTCGCTTGGATTGCGCTGGAAGCGAAGCGGGCGCGAAGTGCGCCCGCTTCGCTTGTCGGGGTGCTTATTATCGGGGTGGATATTCTGCCCTCTATACTCGAGAAGTATCCCCGAAGCGGTGTGTTCGCCGCGCCTTCCCGAACAACTCGCTATAGGAGCGGCAATCTGCACCCTCGGCCCGGTGGCGCGGCATCCTGTGAGCGCGCAGCGATCTCGGGCAAATTTGATGGACCGATTCTCCACTGCTGCCACAGGGACAAGGAGGAGGACGAGGACGAGGAGGAGGAGGAGGGGGGAAGGAGGAGGACGAGGACGAGGACGAGGAGGAGGACGAGGAGGAGGAGGAGGAGTAGGAGGAGGAGGAGGAGCAATGAGGAGGAGGAGGAGGAGGAGGAGGAGGAGGAGGAGGAGGAGGAGGAGGAGGTGGAGGAGCAGGAGGAGGAGGAGGAGGACCTCCCCAGCCTCCCTTCTCCCCTGTCCTACCTGTGGTGCAGGGTCCGACCGTCCGGCCTGAATGACCTCCCCAGCCTCCCTTCTCCTTGGTCCTACCTGTGGTACAGGGTCCGGTTCGGGGGCGGACAGAACCCCCAACAGTGACACGTCGATTAGTGAATTGTCCGTTTTCGGTTCTCGAGAGGGCGCCGCGGCCGTTATTTTCCAGGCTTGCGCCCGCCAGGTTTGGGCCTCAGGTCGTTTTCACTAAACCACGTTCTACTAAAGGGAGGTCTGTCCATCCCCGACCGGTTTGAACAAGGAACACTGATGTGACTTCTCAAAAGGGGCTCGGTCGTTCCTTTGGTCTGCATGCGTTCCGCCACCTCTTTGGCGGCGAGCCCTCCTGGCGTTCCTTCGGCCTCCCTAGATTTGCTTGGAGACAAAAGGGGCCATCGTTCCTCAGGCCAGGCCGAGTACTGTACAGTCAACCCGCATAGTAAGGATTGGCAACCTACCCAAGGGTTCCCTTGCATCCTTGCCTTTCGGCCCATCCTTGGCCGCTTTCGTTGGCCGCGGTCCGCTCGAGAAGCTTCGAAATGGGCGTCCAAGGCCCTTGCAGCCTTATCGCGCATCCTTGCTACACGGGTCGACTGCACTCGGGAACAAGGGCTATCGTTCCTCGGGCCAGGCCGAGTACTGCAGTGGTGTGGAGGAGGATCGGCCCATCGCCGAATACCCGTGCAGAGCTCAATGACCCGCTCCAGGGCGGCCGCGTGCGGCCGGCGGCCCCCGAGGGAGAAACGCGGAGGCCTCGGCCCGCTGCCGCCGCACGCACCGAGGTCTCCGCCGCCGCCGACGGGCTGCCACGGTCGGGGGCGCGCCGGAGTCTTGGCATCGCTCGGGCGTGTGCGTTTTTTTTTGTTGTTGTTGTTGTTGGTGTTGTTGTTGTTGTTGTTGTTGTTGTTGTTGGTGTTGTTGTTGTTGTCGGTGTCGTTGTCGTTGTCGTTGTTGTTGTTGTTGTTGTTGTTGTTGTTGTTGTTGTTGTTGTTGTTGTTGTCGTTGTCGTCGTTGTCGTTGTCGTTGTCGTTGTCGTTGTCGTTGCCGTTGTCGTTGTCGTTATCGTTGTTGTTGTTGTTGGTGGTGGTGGTATTGGTGTTGTTGTTGGTGTTGGTGTTGGTGTTGTTGTTGCTGTTGCTGTTGCTGTTGCTGTTGTTGTTGTTATTGTTGTTGTTGTTGTTGTTGAACATTATTACTTCTAAAGAATAATTATTGTTGGGACCCCTGGTGCACGACCCCCCTCCAAAACCTAGGCCGCAGCTACATTTTCATCATTTTTTCGCGAAAGCTTCAGAAAAGTGGATTAGTACCGGATCCGGTTGTTTTGTTCCCCCCCGTTTTCCCTTGCAAAAAACACTATAAAATGAAATTTCTTGTTCAAATGTAATCCAATTTCAAGAATCCCTTGCAAAAAATAAGCTAAAGTGGACATTCGCGCGTGCAAGACGAAATCCTTCCAAAACCTTAGGTTTCGGAACGATTTCAACATAAAAACATCAAAAACCCAATGGTTTTTTAAATAAAAAATTGTCAAAATCTCATCCCGCGCGCTCTTGCGGATTCGTAGGAAAACCATCACTTTTTAAACAATTTTGTCAAACGGGCTTTTGCGAGCAACTTTTTCAAACTTCTGCGACAACGGTTGCGCACCTGCCAGGGCCATCATCCCTGTCAAATAATACCATGCGGGACACATTCGTTTTTTCTTCGCGCGCGCACGCCGAAATCTACAAAAACCATTGGGTTTTTAAGAATTTTACCACCGCGCATCATAAAATCACACGAATCGCACCGTAGGTCCTCGAAAAACACCTGCACGACTTTTCAAAATTTCCACCCGCGCGCGCTGTCCGAATCCTAAAAAAACCAATGGTTTTCCAACATTTATGTTACATGAGCTCGCGCGAGCTACTTTCGCACGCTCTTGCAACGGGGTTCGCGCGCCTGCCAGGGGCCAGAACTCCGCTCTCTCTGTCTCTCTCTCTGTCTGCTCTCTGTCTCTCTCTCTGTCTGTCTGTGTCATGTATTGTATGTCACAATTGCAGGATGCTGGGCACACGCGCGCCCCGAATAAGTGACCAAGTTCTGTGGGTGTGTACCCCACGCCAGTGTAGTAGCCACGGTCGTCCGCACGCCACGAAGTGAAGTGTCCCAACGTCATAGGGCGGGAAGCTGGGTTTGGGTGGTCGCGAAGAGTCGTTTGGATATTTGGTAGAGCTTGAACTGCCCCCCCACGAAGTGGGGGTATTGTCTCGCGTCGCATGAAAACCCTGGCACTGGTGAGAACACTGAGCGTTCGGGTAAAATGATTGTTGTTGTTGTTGTTGTTGTTGTTGTTGTTGTTGTTGTTGTTGTTCTTGTTGTTGTTGTTGTTGTTGCTGTTGTTGTTGTTGTTGTTGTTGTTGTTGTTGTTGTTGTTGTTGTTGTTGTTGCTTTTGCTTTTGGTTTTGGTTTTGTTGCTTTTCTCCGGCGAGGACCATCGAGGAGCATATTGGATCAGCTCGCGATGAATATCTGCACGCGCGACGGCGAAAGAGGCACGGGGACTGGACGGCCGAGCGATGGCAAGGAGGGGGGCAGGATCGGCACCACCGCCATTGGGTCACGTCGGCGAGCAGGTGCACGATGCCACCACGAGGAGCAGAGTCGAAGAGGGCTCGAGCGGGCCCCTGCATCGCGGGGTGGCCGCACCACCGGGGAGGGTCCCTTTACCCCTGGGGCTCCCCGCGGCCGTGGTGATGATGCCGCTTGCTTGTTCTCCGGAAGGGGCAGCGCTCTCCTTCCCCAGCCTTCTCCTCCTCCTCCTCCCCCTCCTCCTCCTCCTCCCCCTGCCCCTCCTCCTTCCCCTCCACCTGCCCCTCCCCCTTCCCCTTCCTCCTCCTCCTGCCCCTCCTCCTCCTCCTCCTCCTGCCCCTCCTCCTCCTCCTCCTCCTCCTCCTCCTCCTCCTCCTCCTGCCCCTCCTCCTTCCCCTCCAGCTCAGCACCTCGTCCTCCGTCCTCTCCGGCGACAGCGGGCCTGACCAGGGGGGAGGGGGCCAGTCACGTCGCGTCGCGCCGAAGAGACAGTTTTTACCCTCTGACGACGACAGGCGTGACGGGGGGGGGGGGAGGCAGGGGGGCGGGTCGCGTCGCGTCGCGCTGGCGCTGCCTGGGAAAGCTCAGGAAAAGGCTCTTTCCTGCACGTCGCCGGCGCAAATCATGACGTGGCCAGTGGGTGTGGAGAGGGGCATGGCGTTCCACGGGCGGTGTCGCGAATGGTACCAACAAAACATGTTTAAGCTTGGAACCCAAGTTTCCCCCCCCCCCCCCCCCCGCTCTGGTCCCTCCTTGTTTCCCTCTCGCCTCCTGAACTTTGAACTTGCACTCCCCTCCCCTCCCGCATCTCCCCTCCTCTGATTTCTCCCGCCCCTTGCCCTGCCCCCAGGATATCCAGCTGCTGGCGGCAAATCCCTCCACCGGGCATTCTTCTACAAACGTCTTCGAGCCAGGCTCGGTAGAACCATCCCCAGGGCCGTCAAGGAAGCGCATGAATGTTTCTGTGGCGTGGCCGCTGAAATTGACGGCCAGATCGACGACATGGCCCCCCCCCTTGTCCTGTCCTTCTGGAAGCATCGCCACTCCGAGACGTCACCCGTCCACAAAAGTTCTGAGCCGTTGCAGCACACGACGAGACGCCAAGCTTCAAAAGAGCACGCTCAAAGTTTGAGACTCCAGCTTCACCTTAGCTGCTCGAGCTTGAGCTTAGGGTGATTCCGCGTGAGAGCCAAGCATGGCTTGGGGAGGTTCAGGGAGGCGGGTTGAAGTGGACATGTCGGCGACACAGGAAAACAGTTCGGCCACGCGCGGAGGGGGGCAGGGGGAGGGGGGAAGGCTTCTTAGAAGCACCCCTGCTTCTTAGAAGGCGCGGGCCTTCTCTGTAGATACAGGGTCAGCGCCTTCTAAGAAGCAGCCTCCGTCCAAGACGTCTTCCCCCCTCCCCGTACCCCCTCTGCGCGCCGCCAAGCAGTCTTGTGCATTGCGTTGCATTTGTTTTTCTACGTTGCAGTTTTTGCTGGTGCTGTAGTAGTGCTGATCGAGCTTGAGCTCAGGATTCCGCGTGAGACCCAAGCGTGGTCGGGGGAGGTTCAGGGAGGGTTGACGCACACATGTCAGCGACCATCACACGAAAACAGTTGTTAGGGCATTGCCGTGTCGTTTCAGTGCAGTTGCTGTTTGCATTGCCGGTTTTCTTGCGCTACAGTGGCCTTGCTCGAGCTTGAGCTTCGGATTTCGCGTGAGAGTCAAGCGTGGTTCCGGGAGGCTCAGGGAGGGTTGGAGTGCACATTTCGACGCGACCACCGCACGAATTGCAGTTTGTTCGCATGTCTGTTTGCTGTGCCTTGCTGTTCTCGTTTGCATTGCTGTTTCTGTTTGCCCTGCAGTGGCGCTGCCAGAGCTTGAGCTTAGGGTCCCGCGTGCGAGCCAAGAGTAGTCCAGGGAGGTTCAGGCAGGATGAAAGCACACACGCCGGCGATTGCGTGGTGTGGGGAGGTTCAGGGAGAGTTGACGCGCACATGCTGGCGACCACCACACGAGCACAGTCTTGTTGCGTTGTAGTTGTTTTCCATGGCATGTGTTCTGCGTTGTGGTTGTTTTGCGCTCTGGCAGCACTGTTGGAGCTTCGGCTTTAGATTCCGCGTGGGTGCCAAGCGTGGTTTCGGGAGGTTCAGGGCGGGGTGAAGCACATATATGTCGGCGACGAAGACGCGAACACTCTTTTGCATTGCACTGCCGTGCTTTTGTCCTGCATTGCAGTTTGTTTGCCGCTGTGGCGGCACTGCTGGAAAGCTTAGGATTCCGCGTGCGAGCTGAGCGTGGTTTCGTCAGCGCACATGTCGGCGACGACGACACAGGCGCAGTTTTTATTGCGGTGCAGTTTGCCTTGCACTGCTTGAGTGTGTTCCTTGGCCAGGTCCCCTACCTTTCCATAGAGCTGCGCGCAGGAGCCCGACAGTTTTTGTTCTGGTCACCGGTGCAACTCTGGAGGTGTCGGCGCGTCGCCCATGGCAGCCAGTTGATCCCAAACAGCTTAAAAAAAAGAAATAACTCCCGAACGCCTGCGCCCCGACCTTCTAGACCTGGCCACACAGCCATACTCAATGCATTGGCCCCACAGGCATACTCAATGCATTGCAGCTTTGTTTGCACTGCTTTTGTTCCGTGTTAGTGGCGCTGTTTGAGCTTGAGCCTAGGATTCCGCGTGAGAGCCAAGTGTGGTTTTGGGAGGTTCAGGGAGGGTTGAGATTGGGTTTAAGCGCACATGTCGTCGACGACGACACGAAAGCTTTGTTTTGCTACATGGCAGTTCTTGCTGCATTTCAATATCTTGCGCATTGCAATCGTTTTTTTGTGCTGCAGTTGCGCCTGGCTCGCTGGCTGGTCTGGCTGGCTGGTCTGACTGGTCTGGCTGGCTGGTCTGGGTGGTCTGACTGGCTGGTCTGGCTAGTCTACTTGGTCTGGTCAGGTTGATCTGCTCAGGCTGGTCTGGGCTTGTCTGCTTGGTCCGGGCAGGTTGACCTGCTTAGTCTGCGCCAGGCGTCGCTGGTCTGAACGGCTAGCTGCTCTGTTTGGCTTGGTTGCTACACCTGGCCTTCCTGGTTTGTCTACCTGGCTGGTCTGACTGACTGGTCTACACCCTGCGAAATGCTTAAGAAATCATGGGTTAAGAAATTCATAGTCTCAGAACTTGAATAAAAACCCAACGTTTCTATTAAAATCTGAAGATTTACATGGAAACGTTAAGAATAATCGAGCCTCTGGCCGAACATGTAAGTTTTCTTAAGCATCGCCTAAGGTGTAGCTAGTCTGCTTGGTCTGGTTGGTCTGGGTGGCTGGTCTGGACTGTCCAGTGGTCTGGTGGCAGGCGGGCTTATTTGCGGCCCATCCACAGTAAGACAAGTGTTGTTGGATTGCAGTTTTGGTGATCAGGTTGATCTGCTTAGTATGGTCCGGGCTTGTTTGCTTGGTCCGGTACATTCTGCCCCGAGGCCGCGGACACATCCCACGAACCAGTAAGAAGTGCCGTCGGAAGAGTCCCAGGCAGCACATAAACCCATAAGCGGGCCCCAAAGGAGCCAGAATTAAAGTGTTGGGGTCTATTTGCAGGACCCTCTCGGCGCTTCTTCGGACCCTCTTGGTGCGCCTTGGGCTTCTCTTAGGACCCTCTGGGACCGAGACTGCAGAGGGCTCCAGGAAATTTCCAAGAGGTCCCCAAGAGAGTCCCGAGAGGGCTCCAAGAGGGTTCAGAGAAGGCCACCAACAGTATCAGACCGTAGCGCCGTAGCACCTCGCAGTTGCGGATAACAGTGAGGGGGCGGCGGGGAATGCCGGCCGTCTGCGAGACTCTGAAGAAGCTCGCCGCAGGCACCCCATTTTCAAAAATTATACAGGGAGACCGCCACAGGCGCCGATCTTCTAGCAAAGAATGTGGGTGGGTCGCAGGTGGGTCATAGGCCAGGTCGTGGATGGGTCGCGGCTGGGTCCTGGATGGGTCGGGGGAGGGTCCCAGGTTGGTCGCGGCTGGGTCGCGGCTGGGTCGCGGGTTGGGTCGCGGGTGGGTTGTGGGTGGGTCGCGGGTGGGTCGCGCGTGGGTCGCGCGTGGGTCGCGGGCCGGGTCGCGGGCGGATCGGACAACGAACAACGCAACAACAACCAACAGCAAACACAACATCAATCATTTCGATCTTGTTCGTTCTTATCCATTCGCGTGCCATTCAATACGTACATCCCAAACCCTCGGTACCCGCCCTTTGCGTCTTCGATCGTGCCCCAATATGCCACGTGCATTTCGCGCAGCCCCTAAAACAGCGGAAGAGAGGACTGATGGAAAGGGGAGGGGGAAGGACGCAGCACGATAGACCTTAGCAGGAGGGTGGCCAGGAGCAGAAAGCCCGTTGCAGATCCAGACGGGCAGATCAGGCGGGCAGAACCTGGCGGGTGGGTCGGGAAGGCGGGCCCAGGCGGCCATGTCGGAGCAGGCGGGATACTGAAGCGTGAGTCTTGCATGAATCGTGAGGAATTCTCGAGCGATAGCGCGATCCCCCCCAAAAAATATCGGAAAATCCAGAGCGAGAGCGTTATTCCTGAGTGTCGAGGGCGCGGCGTCTGAATACATGGCGAGGAAGTCCCACGTCAGGGCGCGATTCCTTTATACCTGGTGAGAAAGTCCCGCGCGAGACCGCGAACCCTCAATACATCGTGAGGAAGCATTAGGCGGGAGCCGTTGTCGTTGTTGTAACTCGGGGGCCAAGGGCCCAGTTTGGTGACACCCGGCTTTCCCTTATAAAAAGTAGGGCGCAAGCCCCGGGAGAGGCACTTGTATTGAAAAATTATCCCAGCAAAGCAACCTAACAGCGATGTGTAGGAGCATATCTGGAAGCATTCCCCTTCAGATTCAGATGAGAATCCAGTTGTAGAATTCTGCTGTTCTCGCAGTCGTAGTCGCATTCGCGATGACAGTCGCAGTGGCAACGGCAGTCGCAGTCACAGCCTCAGCCTCAGCCTGCCTCAGCCTCAGCCTCAGCCTGCCTCAGCCTCAGCCTGCCTCAGCCTCAGCCTCAGCCTGCTTCAGCCTCAGCCTCAGTCTGCCTTCAGCCTCGGCCTCAGCCTCAGCCTGCCTCAGCCTCAGCCTGCATCAGCCTCAGCCTCAGCCTCAGCCTGCCTCAGCATCAGCCTGCCTCAGCCTCAGCCTCAGCCTGCCTCAGCCTCAGCCTCAGTCTGCTTCAGCCTCAGCCTCTGTCTGCCTTCA